TCTCAGGTAGACGCCTTCAAAATTTGTAGACTGCGGGATGGGGCCCCTGGTCAGAGGGATGGAATCTCTATAAACCACTGCAACCCCGCCTCCCCGCCCTCCGGATCTTGGTTGGTGCTGCACTGAGAAACCTGGCGGGCAGAGCTGGGTGAGATTCACCCCCCCAGTTTCGTCCAACCAGGTCTCCGTGATGCACGCCAGATCTGTCCGCTCATCCAAAATTAGGTCTTGGATGAAAGTAGTTTTTCCGTTGACAGATCTGGCATTCAACAGCACCACCTTCAATCCAGAGGGACCGCCAACCTGGTTACACCAATTTACCATATAAGGAGACCGGTTTGGAATTACTAATGTTGGAGCACGATCCCTAGGCCGAATTATTGGTCTCCTTGTTCCGCATCTCCCCTTCCCCACCACCACTTCTATGGGGGCCCCTCGGCTGGTGGAACACCCTCCCCCCTCCATGCCACATTTCATCCCTGTAGTCTCAGTTTGCGTTTCATTGTTAATTGTATGGCTTGTTGAGATCTTAAACCGATTCGCATTTCCATTCCCTTTGATTCCCCCCCCCCCCCGTCCCATTGTTTCCCCCAGTCTCCAGCCCGCTGTGTCCCCTGACCCCTCCACAGAAGATTAACAGTACAGATAGAAGGTACCAGGGAATGGGGGAGCACATGGATAACAGTTATCAATACACTTATTAACGCTTCACGATCTCAATGCGTAGCGGATACTCTCTCTAGGTTCTTAAAGTGCAATGTGCAATGTGCTGTTGGTATCTACCCAGAATTTGTTAAAGTGCAGCATGGAGGCAAAGTGCTAAGATGGATCAATAGCAGCATAAGTATAGGGATTAGCAGCAATAGGAATAGGGAGGTTGACAAAGTGCTATACTAAGCGAGCTTACAGGCTGTTAAAGTGCAGTGGATAGTGCAAAAAATAAACACAGTTGTTATTAATGGGGTTGTTATGGCATACAATAAGGAATAATATGGAACAATGGATATTGGATGGGCGTCAATAGGTGGTTGGTGTTAGCCTCCGGGTTCGAAGTTAATGGCCGCGATGGAGGGCGACTCATGTACGACAGCGGACAGCACACCCCTCTCCCCTCACAAGAATGATAACACTCAGCCGAGTTCAGATGGAGAATTTCAGTGGTCGGTCAGCACAAAATTTGTTGTAGGTAGTCCTCCGATAGCGGCCTGACGGCACAGGAAGCTGGAATATGTAGTCAGTCAGCCCAAATGGCAAATGACGTGCTCGGTCAACACAACAACGTGCTCGGTCAACACAACGTACTCGGTCAACACAACGCACTCGGTCAACACAAGGCTCCAGGTGGGAGCGTCGAGGATGGCAAAAGAACGTCGAGGGGACGTCCCGACGATCTCAAGGCAGCCGACCCAAGCTGAGAACTGGAGGGCCGGCCGACGGCAGGGGGCCAGTGCGATGGAGGGCCAGCCTCCCTACCGGGCCACGAGACGCCGAGGGGCCCTGGCGGGCGAGGGACCACGGAGGACGCTGGGGCCGCGAGCAGCGAGCGTCAGCTGGAGCCAGGCCGGGCCGAGGACGCCGGGACGCCGGAGCCACGAGCAGCAGCGTCAGCAACAGCGACGGTCGCGATGACACAGGACGCGGTCCGCCTCCCCCCGATGGTCCGAGGCGCAACGAGGGCGGCAAAACCGCTGGGCAGCTGGAACGCCGAGATAGCAAGGTGCCCGGGGCAGCGGAGAAGTGGCGCGCCAGCAGCGGAGCGCCAAAGAAAGCGCCGGGCGGCATGGCCTGGACAGCGTCCCGGTAGGCCCTCCGGCAGCAAATGGCGTCGGCGGCAGCGGCAAAGGTCCTGCTTCTCCTGGTGGTGTGGGGGGCGGTCAGGGGGCCAATACACCTCCCGGGCCAAGGCTCGGTCGAGGGGTTGGGTGGTCTGGCAGCCGCAGTCACAGCTGGGAGGGAACGCTCTTGCTAGGCCCTAGATGGAAAAGGCCTCGGCGTTCTACCTCCCCTCTCCTCCCTCTTCCTCTTAACTCCTCTTAACTTACGTGAAAGCTCGCCAAACTCGCCAAAGAGCCCCTCAAAGGGTTCCTTCGAACTCCTGGGAGCTGGTGATGGCGGTTGGAGGTTGGGGGGAGTCTGGATGAGGGGGATTGAGGTCAGATTAGATAGTCTCACCGGACCGCTCTGCAAACCAGCTGTTAGATCTCCGCCATCTTTGTCCTTGAGTGTCCACATGCATTTCATTCAAATTGCATTAATTCTACAGTATAGATACATCTGTAATTGAAAACTGGTTTTGATGCTCAGGCATCTTGATACCTTACCTAATTTATAAAAACGTGTTAAGAAAGAAAAAAAAAAGATCATTTATTATTGCTAAAATATAGTTTTGGAACTTGATTTCAATATTAGTCACAAGATTTAATCCCACGCACTTCAGCTGATACTTTGTGTACTTATTTAGCAATATTTTTGAAAGTGAGGTAGCTATTAATTTGAATGATTCACTTACTAATCAGGATTTTGTTAATGGAATTACCAGTTTCAGAACAGGAAGTCAGGGAATACATATGTGCTGTAGCAGCAAACAAAGCACCTGCTGAGGATATGGTATCATCAAAGGTCTTCACAGGAACAATTCTGAATGGTGGGCTTCTCTGCTAGCAAATTATTTTCCCATATGAAATCTTCAGGCATTTTCTCTGAGGGATAGAAACCTTCCCAATTTGTAACAAATTATAACCTGATTTTATGAATGTAAATGGCCATGTTTGTATGCATTCACCTATGTTTTTATTGGATTTTATTCTATTTGTAGTGGATTTTAGTCGAGTATGATAACTGATTGACTATTACTATACATGTTCTCATATTTCTTTTCTCTTCTTTCAGTCTCCATTTCCTAGCACTCCTACCTCAAGGCGTGCCTTGCATAGGACTCTGTCAGATGAGAGTATTTACAGTAGTCAGAGGGATCACTTCTTCCCTTCACGAGCTTCTCTTCTGGACCAAGCCCTTCCAAATGATGTCCTTTTCACCAGCACATATCCTTCTCTTCCTAAGTCCTTACCCTTAAGGAGGCCATCATACACATTAGGAATGAAATCTTTACATGGTAATTGTGTTTTGAATATCACCGTATATATAATGTACTCTTCAACTGTTTTTCTTGGCTTCCTTCCATCTTGTTTTGTTCTATGAACCGAGTGTAATCAAGCTTCCTTCATAATTTTAGGTTTCTCTATGTATTTTTTCCCAAAAGATAGAAATAATATCGGAATGATCGAATGGGGGGGAGGGCAAGAAAAAAGCTCTTTCAGTGGTTAAAAACCCTAATATGATAGATCCTTCTCAGCTGCTTTCTTGGTTCTTTTTGTCCAGTCATCAAATAGACTAAGTATGATATCATATTTGAGTTCTAAAGCTCAGGTCCCTGTTTCCCAATCACCTGGTTAGTTCTGCAGGTTTCTGGGAAATGTAGTTTAGGATGGAGCCTTTGGAATGCTTAGCCAGAGAGATCCTCAGCTTCCCTAAACTACGTTTCCCAAATTTCTGCAGGAGCAGAAAATGGGGACCTGCGCTTTCGAACCCTAATGTGATATCACTCTGAAAGACCACTGTTGCCTGCTCCACTCCAGATACACATTTTCTGTCCTCCCAGGCTTGTGAAGGCAGAGCAGCCCAGTAAAGAGGAGGATCATCACATGATGTGTTCCATTAGCTGGAATACAATATTGACATCATTGTAAACTGGATAGTAGAGCCCAAGTGGCAAGGCTATAGTTTTCTGATCCTGGCTTGGCTTCTTCCTCTCACTCTCACAATGTTATACTTCAGGTGGGGAGGGTGCCAGGAGAGGATCCTACAATGCTTTAGCACCCCAATCCTTAACTTTTCTGCTGCCATTATGCAGCAATGTGCAGCAAGTGAGCAAGGGAAAATGGGAGAAGATCTAAGAAGACTTACTGTTCCTTGGATGGCTGCACCCACCTTTTCAATGCCACATTTCAGGAGAAGAAACTGGAAGACTATAGCTTTCAGATTTTTGCTGTTCTTCCCATGTCACATTGAAGCAAACCAGTAAGATTTCCCCCAGTCCAGCTTCTGATGTCTTTAGGTCCCCTGCAAAATATCTGTGAAAAACACATATTTTTCGAAACCATCTATGAACAGGGAGAAAATTGATTCAGTTATTTGTTTTTACTTGCATGAACAAATAAATTAAGAGAACAGCTCGCTATCTCTTTTCCCTTTGGACAGATTTAGTCTGCCATTTTTTGTAATTGCCATTCTAATATTGAAACTATACCATATTTCATTGCATAATAGTTACTACTAGACATACCCCCATTTTTGGAGAGGCACAATTGTATTGTTGCTGTTCCATGCATGATAGTCACACTCTTTATTCACTCACTGCACCTGGGTGAGAGAATAAATGGCGCAACTCAGTGGGTGAGGCTTCAGCTGCCATGCACCACTCTCCTTAGAGATTTGGGGCTTCCCTTGACTCACAGCCAAGGGAAGATCTATAGTAGCTGTGCACACTTTTTACCACGTAATAGTCACCACTGCATAATAGTTGCACCCCCTTTTTTCCTTGAAAGGTTTAACTATTATGCAATGAAATACAGTATTGCGGTACATTGGGGTTTTTTTCTTTTTGTCTTTCTCTGATTGTGTTTTAGTTGTCACGGAATCTGACAGGGTTAATCATTCTGAGCACATTAATCCAATGCCCCTAGCATATGCTTGCCTCTTTATTATCTGCAATATGTAATTGAAGGTGATTGGTTTGACCTATAATACACCACATAGTTTGTTCCCCACATACTTGAGAATCCATTAAGAACCTAACAGGTTTTAAGTTCAGCAATGTGCTTTCTTTTGACCAGATCACAGATATGACAAATCCAAGTAATTAGTTAGTACAAGTAACAATATTGCCAACAGCTGCCATATCTCTTTAATATTTTCCATCTGGGTCTATACTCATTTTAAGAAACATTGCAAAGCATTTTTGTTAGGTCTTTTTAATGTCCAGTATTGAACCAGAATAAAGTGCTATTGTTCTAATATATACCTTCTGGTTTCTTATTGTTTAATAATAAGTAACATTATATTTGGTTGGACTGCTCTGTGTTTTTGTTTTCTTATTTCTTCTAACACAAAGATTCTTCACAGCCTTGATTGACTGGATCAGTTAGGTCAACTACTGGGAAAAGCTGACCTTTATTTTACAGTGCTGGAATTGTGTTGGTCTGAATACTAATTTCTTTGGAACCAATTCTTAGTGCAGAAATCATTCTGTTGATTGATTTATACTCATTTACATTATGTTACCAAATTGGGTGTTTTATAATATGATTCTTTGGGAGGACCTATCACATAACTAATGATTGACCTGGGATTTGTGGGACTAGAAGTTGCCTGATCTTAATAAAGACAACAAAGTGTGGAGGTAGATGTAATGTCATTTTCAACTTCAGGCTACACAGGCATTTGTAGCTTCTTTCACATTAGAAAAGGGTCCTTTGATTTTGCTTGATTTGCTTCCTTTAATTGACTTGTTCACACCTAATAGTTCTTGCAATCTGTATACCTTGTTAGATTCAGAGTTGGGCTATATATTCATTCCACGCTTATTACATTTCTCTTTGGAGGTCTCTTAGGACCTCTCTAACCCAGAGTTTTCCAAACTGTCTGTCACAACACGTTAGTGTGTCGGCTACAGTGTGTAGTTGTGTCAAGCAAACATAATGAGCAGTGACAACAATATTGGAAATGTATGTTATTATCTTACAGATTAAATATTTGTTCAAATATAACTGAAATATTTTGATGAGAACTACATTTTGTTATTACAGTTTATCTACTATCCATATCTTTTAAGGGGCTAGTTTAATCTCTGATTTGCTAGTAAAAGTGAATTACAGTATCATTAAATGATGCATATCTAAATAGGTGTGTCACCAACATTTAATGTTTGGAAAGCTCTTCTCTAATTCTTTAGAAAACCTGCTTTCTACAGGGCTCAGTGCTTCAGAAAGACGGTTATTCATGTTCAAAAACTATGGTATTCAATTATATTCAGTGAATGGAGTTGGCATACAAACATAACACCAGCACTCAGCTATTATGCTTGTATGCATAATTTTTGGAACATCATCTGAACAAAGCCAATATATCTAGAGGCATTTTTTATCCTTAAATATATAGGCCTGTCCAAAAGTTGGTCCCAGTAGGTTTTCTAAATCAATACAAGTTGCATGAATGCTGACTTAGGAAGCGCCTCTTGATTCAGAGTCCAGCTTAAGAGTTGAATATATGATATAGTTGTGGATGTGTGTGCATGTGCCTGGCTTCAAGTCATTTGTTGACTTATGACACCTCCAATGAATTTCATAGGTTTTCTTAGACAAGCAGTGCTCAGAGATGGTTCTGCCAATTACTTCCTATTGTATCTGGTGCCCATTCATAATACATTTAATTTCTCTGTCAATGGATGTGCAAGGCAGTCATTGAAAGGGTTAAATTCAAGAATTCTATACTCTTACATTTCTTGAATTCCTCCTCTTCTCTACTTGTATAAGTGTTTCCACTTGTTTTATTCTACTTTGGTTGCAGCTTGTGAGGGTAAAGTAATGTTTTTTTCTTAGCTAAATTGTTTCTCCTCATGAAGAACAGGAAGCCTGCCAAGTTCATCCTGCCTTTTGTGGAGGAGGAATGTACTTGCACCACTCCCCATTGACCAGAGGGACAAATTATGCCAGCTTTCTAGTAATGTTTGAGTAGCTCCCATACTTAAATCAGCATCAAGCCAAAAGTGGGTGGGCCATTTATATAGAATGCTTGTCCAGTTTAATGTCACTGTTGGTGTTTATTTATTTATTTATTTTCCATGTTTTGTTTTGTTTTTTGCATTCTTTGTTGCCTCAGGAGAGTTCTCTGCCTCTGACAGCTCCCTCACAGATATGCAAGAGCAGAGGAGGCAGCCCATGCCAGACCCAGGTCTTATGCCCCTGCCCGATTCGGCTTCTGACTTAGACTGGTCAAACTTGGTAGATGCTGCCAAAGCCTTTGAGGGTAGGTATTTGCCATGCATTATTTGAGAAGCTCCTCCTTTTAAAAAAACCCTCATTAAGGAGCTTTTAATAATGTGTTCTTATCCCAGCATAGATTGCACCAGTTCTGAAATCCAAATTCTTCCATATTGTTGGATTCCTGCCAGTGGTGTGTTATTTCCACTCCTTTAAATCAGTTTTGTGTCCATTTACATTTTTGTGTTGCTTCTGATTTTTTTAATTAACTAAATGTAACATATCTTCATTGCTTTGCTGTGAATCTTGAGTAATTTTAGTTAGGCCTTATGCATTTAGACCTGTATCATTGTTTTTTTGCCATAGAAGCAGAAAAAAAGTTGTAAAAGGAATTGGACCTTTGTGTGATACTTTGGTCCAAGTTTGAAATAAAACATCAAAATAGTCAATTCAAATACAGTAAAGGTAAAGGTTTCCCCTGACATTAAGTCTAGTCGTGTCCGACTATGGGAGGTGATGCTCATTTCCATTTCTAAGCCAAAGAGCTGGCATTGTCTGTAGGCCCCTTCAAGGTGATGTGGCCAGCAAGACAGCATGGAGCACTGTTACCTTCCCACTGAAGCGGTACCTATTGATTTACTCACATTTGCATGTTTAAGAACTCCTGAATTGGCAGAAGCTGGACCTAACAGTGGGAGCTCACACTGCTCCCCGAATTCAAATCGCCAACCTTTTGGTCAGCAAGTTCAGCAGCTCAGTAGTTTAACCTACTGCACCACCTGGGGGCCCTACAATTCAAATATATCATACTATAAAGTCAAAACAGACAAATTGTTAAGTATTGAGGATTCGCATAGGAAAGTCTTGAAAACTCCTTTCTGCAGCCATGTTAAGTAGAAAATAGTCACCTCCCCCTTTGTATTATTGAATTGGTTTCAAAGGATGAACAGAAGGAGAAAATACATTGCCACTGTCCCGTGAACTCTGCACAGTTGCTAGTCGAACAACAACAGTGTGCTTATTGGGACCTAACAGTAGGTTAGCTTACCTTGGAAATGAATCAATGTGGGCTTCAGGTTTGCATTAGTCTTCTTCCCTTGTGAGGAGATTGGAAATTTACACTTGAGTTTTCAATTTTCAAACACTATAATTCAATGTTTATCTTAAATTGTGGTTAATTTTAACAAGGCAACTTTATGAAGCTTGATATTGGCCTTTTTCAGTAAACTTTAGTTCAGCCTAATGCTGAACTTGTGTAGCTAAAAATTTGCAGTTTTCTTGGCATTGCTGTGACAGAGAAGAAAAGGAAACTGCTGATGAGCCCAAGTTTTGCTCATGTAATCCTGATTGGTTGTGTGTGTTTCAATAAAATCCTGTTGTCTTTCTCTACTGCTTCTTTTTGTTCCAGGGATGCCCTACTGGGAGCAAGATGAGCAATTCACATGTAATCTTAGGTGTCATCACTTACTTGGTTTGGTGTTAGAAATTTTCCCCTTGTCATTCTTGTTTTTCTATTTTTTTATTCTTGCAGGAGAAAGGTTTGTTCTCCTGCATTAAGAGACGAATTAATTACTTTGCGGGATGTATATTCATATGTCTGGGTTTGTTTTGTTCTGTTTTTGTCTCTCCAGTCCAGCGAGCCACATATTTTACAACTGGTGACGAAAACCACAGACCTGTCAGTGTTGCTTCTCATAATGATCATGGCGACGACCAGCTTTCTGCACAGATGAAGCCTTACACTGGGTAAATAAAGCGTTGAACATGGAAATATAGGATAACACACACTGTTAGAAGTATAATTCAGATTGTTCTTTCCCCCTAGGCAGATTTAAGACATTAAAGAAGCTGATATTCATCATTTTAATAGTTATTGCTTAGTTTATGTAGAATAATGTGTGTATTCGATAAAGATGTAAAGGAATAGGAGCAAAGGAAATTATTTTCAGATTTTTTTTCCCCAGAGACTTCAATTTTTTCCTGGAAAATTTAAAGAAATTGAATATTTTCCATTGGAGTGTTTTGCAATTCTTGGAAACTTTGGAAATATTTCCTCCCTCCAGCTGAATCCTAAAAAAAAAAGCATGTCACATTAAAAAATGTAATATATATATGTACTGTGTCAGACTGTTGTAATTCCTATACCACCAAGACAAAAAACTGCTGCATTGAACTCAGAATTATAACTCTTGGATGCAAGAATAAGATTTATTTCTGGCTGTAAGGGGCACTGCTATTGGCACAAGAGAAGTAAAAGGGTTTCACTTTCTTTTTTGGTTGTCAGCTGCTGTTTGTTAGCCAGTAGGTGTCTTTTGCTATTATTGATGGTTTCTGTTTTCTTTTGTAAACTGGCAAAACCAAAAAGACTCCTTACAGTTGAAGAACTTCCATCTCTAGTAATAGAAAACAATAAAATATTTACATGGAATTCCAATTTATAACTATTGTCTGAATAGACTGAAGTTATAAAACACTAAATTTGTCAACCTCTTGCTGAACCAGGGTACACATGATACATTTTATTTTTTAACAGCAGCAAAACCGTTTTCAGTCTGTAAACGGTCCTGGTAGTATTTCCCATGTTACTGCAAATAAACATTTACTGTTCCCCGTCCCCATCCCCCAACCGGATTTTTGGAATTTTTTACTTCTCTGGTATCTTAAAACCCTTTTCATTGGTTGTTTATAGCAAGGAACACAGCAAATTAGATGTTTTAAATATCCCCCAGGGAAAGTTTGGGCTACATGTACGATACTCTAAGAATGGATCCACCTTGAGCATAGAATTCTGTAATTCTTCCCCCAAGATGGATCCACTCTTTGGCGATCTTATATATACTTATAGCACGTTCAGACTTTCCCATAAAGGTATTCAAGATACCAAATTTGCTGTCCTCAGATGCCAAGTCTTTCTGAAAGTGTATACAGCTGATCTAAAACTCACTGGGGCCCAATATAAGCATAACACGTATGTATGGAGTTGCCTTAGCCCTGACTGTCTCCTTAAACCCTGGTTAAACTTCCAAACATAAAATAAAGATGTTTCGTTTCCTGTTATTTCCCTCAGAACATAAGAAAACTGGTGAAAACTGGTTGTCCCCTTACAAAAATAGGGGCTGCAGAAGTTGCATTATTTTAGTGCAGATGTAAGATAACCATAATTAGCTTAGCACAGTGGGTTCAGAACAGACAAAAGATTGTACTCTTCTACATTGCATAATTAACCTACATGAATTTAGTGCCAAAGGATGTGGTAACAACCACCAGCCCAAGAGGGTGGTTTTTGGTTGGTTTGTTTTTGAACAATCCCAATAAATCATGGTGAAATTATGTAGCATTTAGCAATGATAACGAAACAGAACCATCATGGTCAGAGCCAATGTACTTCTAAATACAGTAAAAAGCAAAAGGGCACCCCACTTCTTTGCCAACAGCTCTGAAAACAACGGTGTTTCTATTACAGCTTGGCCTGTCACAGAAAAGGAATGCTGGTTTAAATGGGCCCTTCTTTGTCTCAGCAGAGCTCTTTTGCTCCCTCGTTCTTCCTATCTACAGATATAACATTTTACCAGAGCTTGGAAAAATTACTTTCAGGGGATTCTGGTTATGGTCCAAAATACAACTTTTCTCAATGGCCTGAATTGTCTTTAAGGAAAACAGACCATTGCTTTCCTGCATATGGTGATAAAGAAAATGATTGGTAATAAATGCTTCCAACTTTCCAACAGAAAAGAGTCGCCTCCTCTTGCTTCTAAAGTGAGCCAGCTGGAAAGTATGCTGAGAATGCTGCAGGAAGATTTAAAGAAGGTAAATATTTGTACCAAAAGAAAGACTTCTGTTTAAATTCTAGGTTATAGCAATGTCATTATGAACTGTGATATGTAACGTTCTCATGATTTCAAAACACGCTCTTCTGGGGTTTTTTTTTTCTCCTGTTGTTAACCCAGTTCTTTTTTTAACCTCAAAACTAAAACTTTTAAGACATTGGATGAAATCAGAGAAGGTATGTTCAAATCAAATATATTAGTTCATTGCAGACAACGGTGATTCTCAACCCGGGGGTCATGAGGGGGATTCAGAGGGGTCGCCAAAGTCCATCAGAAAACACATATTTCTGATGGTCTTAGGAACCTCTTTGGCAGAGAAGGCTGAAGATCTCTCCTGCCCTTCTCTTCATTTTTGGTGTTGGTGAACTGCAACTCCCAGAATTCTAAAACAGCACCCCCCAACCCTAACAGTATTCAGTGTAGGCCATGTAGATAGTGAGACAAATTTGGTGCAGATCCATTGAGGGCTGGGTTCAGACTGCTCTTTTATTATAGGTGAACTGTCAATCCCAGCAATTTCAACTCCCCAATGTCAAGGTCTGTTATTTCCCAAACTCCACCAGTGTTCACATCTGGGTATATTAAGGGTTCATGCCAAGTGATGGTCCAGATCAATCATTCTTTGAGTCCACAGTACTCTCTGGATGTAGGTGAACTACAACTCCAAAGGCCAATGGCCACCAAACCCTTCCAGTGTTTTCTGTTGGTCATGGGAGTTCTGTGTACCAAATTTGGTTCAATTCAATCACTGGTAGAGTTCAGAATGCTCTTTGATTGTAAGTTAACTATAAATCCCAGCAACTACAACTCCAAAATGACAAAATCAGTCCCTCCTGCAACCCCACCAGTATTCAAATTTGGGCATGTTTGTGCCAAATTTGGTCCAGTGAATGAAAATACATCCTGCATGTCAGATGTTTACATTATAACAGAAGCAAAATTACAGTTATGAAGTAGCAACAAAATAATGTTATGATTGGAGGTCACCACAATATGAGGAACTGAATTAAGGGGTCACGGCATTAGAAAGGTTGAGAACCACTGGCATAGTATATTGTGGTTGTTTTTTTATTCTTTATTATAACTGTGACAAAATGAAGGAAAACAGAAATGAACCACAACATTTCAAGAAATGTGATCAGTTAGCATCACATCTGATGTATAGCTTCAAGCCTCATCAGTGATGACTGATGAAGAGATGTTGCTTATTGTCCTCCAGAAGGTTTCCCATTGACTAAGAAGAAGTGCTGCCCACAGAAATACTGCCATTATTGGGTTGATTCTTTTTCCGTTTTAGCCAATCCCAGTGGGATTTCTGTGTCATAGGGAGATGGATAGAATCCAGAAACATTGACATTTCTTTGTGTTGAGTACAAATGTCAAATCATTTCGACCACGTAACAAATGATAGTGCAGGAAGCCAAAGCAAAGTGGAAATAAATGCATTTTGACACAGGTCTTAGCTGGCAGTCATGGTAGAATTCTTAACCAACAAAATCCATGTGTCCTTTTGTTGTCTCTCAGGAAAAAGAAGACAAAGCCAACCTTCAAGCCGAAGTGCAGCATTTGCGTGAAGACAATTTACGGTTGCAAGAAGAATCCCAGAATGCCTCTGAGAAACTGAAGAAATTTACTGAATGGGTTTTCAACACAATTGATATGAACTGAGAATAGCACACATGAAACAAATACATTGGCAAAAAATAAGTAAAATCTCTGTAGTGGGACTGAAGCTTTAATACCGCCCTAACCATGACCTTTAAAAGCCTAGTCAGAGTGCTTTCACATGTTTCATACTCTGATTACCTGTTGTTTTTTTTTTTGCATCTCTGCAAACACCCAGATTAAGAATCATTGTCTGCCTTTTGTAGAAAAGAAGCAAAAAAGTGATTTTAAAGAAAATAAAAAATTAACTGCTAAAATGTGAATGTCTTTATTTTTTTGCACATTTAACTTTTCTGTACAAAATGACATGAAGAGTGGACCAGAATAACTGTCCATCTGCCTCTATTTATTTCTCTTCACGACTTTGTATCAGTTTCAGATTAATCTGCTTTATTCTTGCTGCTTTAACAAATATTAGAAGTTCTAGAAAACTAGAAAGATGTTTATTTTGCTGCTTCCTTTCTGTTGTTTCACATGAACTAGAGGATGTTTTGAGTGCCTCATTAATGATTTGCACTTCATCATCTGTAGTGCTCCCCCCCCCCTTCTTTTGTATGGAACCATTGCTCATTGAGTGAGTTTGTGTACAGTCTAGATAGCAGAAACTAGATATGGCAAGTTATCTGATTCCATTTTTACAGATCTTTCTGGAATAGTACTTGTTCATGGAGGTGAAAGAGCTTCCAGCTGCTTAAAGTACAAACAGCATTAATTCGTTATGTTCAATGGACATCTTTTCATAGGTTGCTTGGGAGAAGGGAATAATGAGTGCAGTTTTCAGAATGACATCTTCCTAGTTTGGGACCTTTGTCTTTCCAGTTCCTTTTTAAGTGCATATTACATTTGAACTTTCCTAAACACTGAGAGCCCCAGTCCCTATATCTATCTGTAACTCTAAATCTATTACGACACTAAACTTAATTAAAGAAGTAAGCTATTTGGTTTTGTCTGTCTACCAGAAAGTTTCTTCTGACACCTGCCTGTTGCTTATATCTCAGGCACATTGCACTGTCTTCCCCTAGCAACACAGAACTAGGCATCCTATTACTGACCTATACAGGCATAAGGCAACATGTCTTTCCATATGACTTCTTTAGCTGTTGCAGAAGATGGTATCCTCTTTCTCCACTTTGATCAAAGCCTCACGTTCTCACTGTTTAGTTGCTAGAGACCCTCTTCCCCAACCAAGTTATTGGCTGTTGGAGGCCAGGGAGAATCAACATTTGGTTATTTCCCCTGAACCAGACACAGCATGATCTCTGTTGACCTTCCTTGCCCACTGATTCAACCATCCATGGCCTGAAAATATTCCCTCCAAAATTCCAAACCATGATTCTGCCATTTTAAATAAATTTTGCTATGCCATTGTATATAACGGGTCGTGAGCATCCAAAGAATTTGGTACTTTGGGGGGTGGTCCTGGAACCAAGCCCCAGAGGTACATCGCCTGCCAAATCCCCCAAAGGGCCTTGGCATATCTTACTGGATAACATAACCAGGCTGTGTCTAATGGGACATAACCATATGTTTCTCTAAATGGCTCCAAATGTCTGGAGGAGGCTGCAGCAATTATAAAATGAATCTAGTGAGATGTAACATAATTCCACCTGCAGAACCTTTACACTATGCTCTGCCATTCCCTGCCCAATTCTAATGCACACACCCAGCACAGCAGAACAACGCAAGCTTCCTTCTAGGTACTTTGCCTAAAAAAGACCATCAATTACTAGTTGCCTTTTCACTAATTGCAATATTGAGGATCCATTAACGACAATGTGGCAGATACAGGCTGCAGCTTACAAATTGCATAATACTATAAGGATGCACACAGTGATGATATCTGTGCCTGAATACTAGCGACTTCTGTGACATTCCAATTTTATAACATCGTGCAATGTTGTGGTTTAAATAAGATATATTGTTCTTGCTCCTGTATTCTTTTTGTTTGTTTTTTTTAGGGCCCTTCTTATCAGTAAGAAGTTAGAGGGGCAGTTACTTAATGAGCGCAGTATGAGCCCCAGATTCACAGAATTGATGTATACGGTTTCATCAATTATTCACTTAGGGTCTTCTGTACAAGCTACACCCTCTTCTTGGTACCTCTGTTGTTCATGCAGTTGAAAATAATAGGCTGTGCTGTTATCCATGGTTTCACGTATCTATGTGAGCTTCAGGAATATATCCCCCACAGATAGGGGGGGGGGGCTGTACTGTAAACTTTTCATACCTTTGCTTTAAGTGCCCCAGGTGAAAAGACAATTAAAATGAACTAAGGCATCTCTTTATTTATAGACTCCAGGAAAGAACCTGTTCTCTGGGTTGTTGTAGGTTTTTCGGGTAGTGAAGTCCTCACAACCTCTGAGGATGCCTGCCATAGATGCAGGCAAAACGTCAGGAGAGAATGCTTCTAGAACATGGCCACAGCCCGAAAAACCTACAACAACCCAGTGATTCCGGCCATGTAGGCCTTTGACGGTACATTGACCTGTTCCTTTGTTCTTGATGTGTGGATTTTCCAGTAAAACTGGCTTTCATGACATGTCTGTGTGCTGGGAAGATAACTTACCACGAAATGTCACATCTTCAGGAATAAACTCTTAATATGGGGTTGGGGAAAACGTCTGTGTGCTGCAGCTTGCCTAAGCTTTGTTTCAAGTGGCATGATGTGAACCTAGTTCATAAGCTCCGCTGCATGCATCCATGATAGTCTTCCCTAAACATTCCCAGATCCAACAGTAATTGTCTTACGTCTGTCCATTTCACAAACCTTCCTTTGTTCTCTGTGCTTCAGCCATCTTTCATTATTGAAAATCTTCTTAACCTCAGCCATCCAGTCGTCTTCCCCTTCATTGATATGCATTCACTTAATTCTTAATAACTGTATGAATCCACAAGGTTTGCTTTGACCTAAAATTTCATTTGTGTTGACAATGTAATTGGGATGCGTTTCTAATATTTCGTCATGAAAGGGGATCGGTTTGAAAGTATTTTTGGAATGATTTTACAGAAAGCTAGAATGTCTTAAGAGTTTTCTTTTTCCAGTAACTTGTATGAAGGAGAACTATATCATGCCTGATGTAATTTGTAAATGGGAAATATTGCTAACATCTCTAAGCATCTTGACTTATTTTTTCTCTCTTTCTTTAGTTTTTTTTTTAAAAAAAAAACATGTTGGGACTTTGGGCAGACTATTTATTAGAGTTTTGCAACAGAGTTCTTGTATGAAGCCTCTGAAAGGCTACTTGTAAAAAAAACTGACAATAAAATTCATTTTAAAGGCTCTTCTAGAAAGAATATTCTATTTGATTTTATTCTTTGAATTTTCTTCTCGTGTAAGCCTCTCATCACCAGAATCCATACATTCACCTCAGAATCCATAAGCGCAAGAACTAAAAGGTGTGGTTTTAATCCATAATTCTAGTACAGACACCATTTTGTCAGCTTTCATGTCTCCCTCTTTCTAATTTAGAACATTTCCATGTATTTGTGGCTTTAAAATAACTCTTTAATATTCATTTTGCTTTTTGATGAAATATGCACCACAGATGAGCACTTATTAAATATAACATTAATGGGAAGCTGACTATAGTTTTTTGATGTCACTTGGTTTCAGTTGAAATTGTTTTCAGACCAAGCCTCAACCTCAACGGAGGTTGAATATTGCCTTTCAAGGACTTTTGAAGGGCCACATTGCCACCTCTGGATAAGATGATCCTGGACATGAGGTGAGGGATCTCTGTGGCAGAGAGCTGTCTAGTGCATTTCTTGTTCACTTGATGTTCTATCACTTTACTGAAAGCCTGTAGGACATGCTATTGCTTAACTAGGGAAAGGAATGAATGTTGCTTGTGTTGTTACCCAAAACAAAGAACAATTCTCTTTCTGTTACACTGGCTAGAGTAGAAGTAAAAATCATAGCTTGTTCCACATAGATAAATATGTGGCTTGCCATTGTGGTATGCATTACACTGCATAAGCAAATAGGTTTTCATGAAGGTGTCACCCGTTTATAGACATTAGCAGTTGGATTGATTGGTCTTTTTTTCTCAGTTCTTCAGACCATTGTTCTTATGTCATTTTGCAAGTAGGAGTATTTGTGTACTGGAGCATGAGCGCTTCCTGACAGAGATGGGTTATCTCATTGATTGACAGGAACTGTGACAGTATCATTACATCTATCTGGCAGATTATTTTCAGTGTGAGATTTTTTGCTTGAGTATTCTTTTGAGCAGTCAGCTAAAAACAAAAGTGAATATCTAGGTAAAGCAAGTGATTTTCCTCCCACTCTGACATATAGATCAGTAGGTTTTAAAAATTTGGATGGTCAATATTTCTTAAACCAGCAGATACTATAATGCTTGGAAACAAGCAATATGTACAAATCTAAAACAAGGCTGATTTAGTATTCTGTCTTTAAAATAATGGAGTTTGTGCTCAGAAAATCCCTGCAAATTGTACTTGATGCAAATACAGCTAGGTTGTTGTAGGTTTTTTGGGGGGCTGTATGGCCATGTTCTAGAAGCATTCTCTCCTGACGTTTTGCCTGCATCTGTGGCAAGCATCCTCAGAGGTTGTGAGCTACTTTTGTTTGCAACAATTTTATTAATGAACTTCCCTGATTGTATTCTGAAATGGACCAGGAATCATCTCCTTAAACCTTTAGTTTACTAGGTCTGGCTGAAATGACAATAGATAAGTTTAGCTAAACAATCTTAGACGCCCTGAGGTGGTTTGCTGTTTCCTTCCTCTGAAATATAGCCTACAGCAACTCATATACTTTTGTGGTTCTCCATCCAAGTCCCAACTAGCCTTGATCCTGATTAACTTTCTAGATCAGATGGAGTCTGGAGCCTTTGGAAATTTTGACTTCCTTATGCCTATATCGGATATTTTTATCTCATGTGAAACTTAGGTAATGCAGCACTTCATGTGTGGGAGGGAATCAAGAGGAGCCCCCGGTGGCGCAGTGGGTTAAACCGCTGAGCTGTTGAACTTGCTAACCGAAAGGTCGCAGGTTTGAATTCAGGAGGCAGCGTGAGCTCCCGCTGTTAGCCCCAGCTTCTGCCAACCTAGCCAAAGAATAGATCAATAGGTACCGCTCCGGTGGGAAGGTAACGGCGCTCCATGCAGTCATGCCGTCCCCATGACCTTGAATGTATTTATTTATTTATTTACTTTATTTCTATACCGCTTTTCTCAGCCCTCAGGCAACTCAAAGCGGTGAACAACATCAGTACAAAATATCACAAAACAAGTATAGGGCAATTAAAAACAATTATCACATAAATCATTAACATCAGTATAACAATCATTAGCGCCTCAACAGTATCCAGTCTCGTCATCCATTATTCCGTATTCCTATGTTCAATTACACTGTTTAATCTAATGCTTGTTCGAACAGCCAGGTCTTCACTTTCCTCCGAAACGCCAGCAGGGAGGGGGCCAATCTGATATCTGCAGGCAGGGCGTTCCACAGCCAAGGGGCCACCACTGAGAAGGCCCTGTCTCTCGTCCGCGCCAAGCGCGCCTTTGATGCAGGCGGGACTGAGAGCAGGGCCTCTCCAGATGATCTTAGTGTCCTAGTCGGTTCATAGGAGGAGATGTGTTCGGAGAGGTAAGTAGGGCCAGAACCGTTTAGGGCTTTATAGGCTAAAGCCAGCACTTTGAATTGTGCCCGGTAGCAAACTGGTAGCCAGTGGAGCTGGCGCAACAGAGGAGTAGTATGCTCCCTGAGTGCCGCTCCGCGTTAGCAACCTGGCTGCCGAACGCTGGACCATTTGAAGCTTCCGAGCAGTCTTCAAAGGCAGCCCCATGTAGAGAGCGTTGCAGTAGTCTGCGGGATGTAATCAGAGCGTGGACTACCGTGGCCAAGTCAAACTTCCCAAGGTATGGGCGCAGCTGGCGCACAAGTTTTAACTGTGCGAATGCTCCCCTGGTCACCGCTGAAACCTGGGGTTCCAGGCTCAGCGACGAGTCCAAGATCACACCCAAGCTGCGAACCTGCGTCAGGGGGAGTGTGACCCCGTCCAACACAGGCTGTAACCCTATACCCTGTTCGGCCTTATGACTGACCAGGAGTACCTCTGTCTTGTCTGGATTCAATTTCAATTTGTTAGCACTCATCCAGACCGTTACAGCGGCCAAGCACCGGTTCAGGACCTGAACAGCCTACTTAGTAGCAGGTGGAAAGGAGTGACAGAGTTGGACATCATCCACGTACAGATGACACCACACCCCAAAACTCTGGATGATCTCCCCCAGCGGCTTCATGTAGATGTTAAACAACATGGGAGACAATATTGAGCCCTGAGGAACCCCACAAGACAAGGGTTGTGGGGTTGAACAGGTGTCCCCCAATAACACCTTCTGAGATCGACCCTCTAGGAATGACCGGAGCCACTGCAAAACAGTACCTCCAAGACCCATTCCCACGAGGCGTCTCAGAAGGATACCGTGGTCGACGGTATCTAAGGCCGCTGAGAGGTCCAGCAGAACTAACAGGGACACACTTCCCCCTGTCTAGCTCCCGGCGTAGATCATACACTAAGGCGACCAAGGCTGTCTCAGTACCATGTCCCGGCCTAAAGCCAGACTGTGCCATCCAGATAATCCGTGTCTTCCAAGAATACCTGGAGTTGTGAAGCCACCACACGTTCCAGGACTTTGCCCTAAAAGGGGAGATTGGAAACTGGCCGATAGTTGATGAATTGAGTGGGGTCCAGTGATGGTTTTTTCAACAGCGGTTTTATTATATGTCTACGGACAACGCTGGCTCTTTGACTTAGAAATGGAGATGAGCACTAACCCCAGAGTAGGACACAACTGGACTTAATGTCAGGGGAAAACATTTACCTTTACCTTAGGGAATCAAGAACTAAATGATCTCATCGCAACAGTTTAACCACCCTCTAGACATCCAAGTTTCGGAATCACTCCCGGACAGTAATGAAGGACTTCCAATACATTTGAAGTTCTGAAAATTCACTCCCCCTGGGTTATTTAATACTAGCTATTTAAATGGAAAGTTTCAGCAACCAATACTACAACAAGCATGAAAAACAATTGCTGAGGAATTCTACTAAATCTGCCTCTTTACACACATGCTCCTTGGGGACGCATGCCCATGCAGTCGTAAGCATAAGTTCAGTTGTCATCCTACTGGCTTGTAGATGTTTTTCATAAAAATATGCATTCTTCCTACGTTCTGCTGCTCACTCCATTACCTACCAGTGGATATGGGCCAACATCTGTGAGACATGTTGAACAGATGGTGCTCCTAATAATTAAAGCAGATTCCTTGGCTCATCAATTTTTTTTAGTACTCTGGGAAAGCCATTCATCTTCTAGGTCTTGATAAGTACTGACGGTGCAAATTCCCTGTGTAGCACCTTAATAGTTGATGCCTATAGTAATTTATAGTTGCCAACACCAGATCCAAACAATAAAACTCTTCTACATAACACTGGATTTCCCCCTGTGCTTGCAGCCTGGAGTTCATTATTTGTTCTTATCCTCCACCGTTCCTTTTAAAATGCTGTTTCTCTCATTTCTGCAAAATAAAGTAGGTGTAAATTAAATTAGCAAACATTCAAAAATAGCAAACATTAAAAGTTTTTTCCATGTCAGGAGTAACTTGAGAAACTGCAAGTCGCTTCTGGTGTGAGAATTGGTGGTCTGCAAGGACGTTGCCCAGGAAACGCCTGGATGTTTTGATGTTTTACCATCTTTGTGGGAGGCTTCTCTCATGTCCCTGCATGGGGAGCTCATGGGGAGCTGATAGAGGGAGCTCATCCACATTCTCCCTGGATTCAAACCTGCGACCTGTCGGTTTGTCAAATCAGAAAAATACTTTGAATGATACTAAAGTTAGGATAAATTCATGCCTTTGTGTTTTTAATTACTACATACAGTTATGTAAGCTAGGCAATAAAAAAAGATGATAGGAAGAAAATCAACTCATTTGAGATGGGATGCTGGAAAAAAATTCTGCAGATACCATGGACTGCTAAAAGGACAAATAATGTGCTCCTGGAACAAATTAGGCCTAAATGCTCCCTAGAACTCAAGATGACTAAACTGAGACTGCTGTACTTCGGCTGTATGAGGACCCTTCCAGACAGGCCCTATATCCCAGGATCTGATCCCATGTTTTCTGCTTTAAACTGCATTATATGAGTCTGCACTGCCATGTAATCTGGGATAAACAGAAAATCTGGGATCAGGTCCTGGAATATAGGGCCTGTCTGGAAGGACCACGAGAAGACATGACCTGCTAGAAAAGACAATCAAATTTG